GACTCTTAACTGCCCTCTGGGTAATTAGGGATGGGGGATAAGTGTTGGTCTAACCAATGGCTCCCACATTCTATGAATGAATTAGAAAGAGCTTGTCTCTTTAAGGCATATTTAGACTTTTAAAGGTATGCTGACAATGGGTTATAACACAACTGTTTTCTTAAATTCTTTCATGGGATGTTGGCAAGATCATCATTTGTTGCCTATCCCTAAATCAGCTATTTCTGAGGGCATTTAGGAATCAACTGCATCATTGTGGGTCCAAGTCACATGTAGGTCAGACCAAGCAATGATGGCAGATCTTAGTGAACCAGATGGGTTTTTACAAAACTTCATGTTCGTTGTTTCAATTGCCATGACTAGCTTGAAATTTCACATTTGTTAATTAAATATAAAGGCCATTAGCTCCCGGACTGGGATTTGAACTCATATCCTCAGAGAATAAGAGGAGCCCCTGGTTCCTTACACTAACACCACTGTCTCCTTTGACAATGTTTCAGAAGCTGGAATATCTGGGTGCTGACCTATTTTCCAGTGCCGTTAGTTGCTGTTCTGACAAGAAAGCAGGAATGAGTTGGAAGAATTTTGACGAATATTTGCTCATTAAGCCACAATGTGGAAGGATTATGGAGGGATATAATAGATGGATTGTAAAGCCTGCAAATCCAAGATCCAAATTGAGCCTTCAGTCGCAAAATAAGCCAGGACTGGGTATTATCCAGTACAAACTTTCACCAACAGTCTATTTTACATCTTGATCTGATTTTGAAAATAATTAAGGTTCTTTTTGTTGGATTAAATACGAAAAGCGGTTCCATAAAAATGGTTCTTACATTGTGCCCTTCATCCCACATTTCCGACCACGGAATCCATTTCATGTTCAATTGCACAAATCCAGTGGGTTTCATTCCATATGGAATTTCCAGTTAGCTCTGTGCCTTCCTAACTCAATACAAGATAGTTCATTGGTGACAATCACTGATTCTGGTCTGGTTGGACCTTCAGACATGAAGAAATTGAGTAAATTGAGTATCATGGAAGATTTATATTTTTTTTAAAGTAAAGATTATATAAAATTATGAGTGGCATGGACAGGATGGATAGTCAGAGTCTTTTTTTTCCCCAGGAAGGAAATGTCAAATACTAGGGGACATTGGTTTTAAGTGACGGGGAGGGGTGTGGGGGGAAAGTTTAAAGGAGATGTACTCCTGCTCCTATTTCTTACATTCTTACACAAAATTATGACATGAGAGAAAACCTTTACGTACAGCAAGTCTTTAGGGTCTGGAACACAAACAGTGTGGTGGAGACAATTTGAATCAAGGTTATCAACAGGGAATTGAGTTAAGATTTGAAGGTGAAGAATGTGAGCAGGAGAAGGCAGGATAATGTTAAGGGATGAGACCTTCATCTCGCGAGCTGATATAGACACGATAAACTGATCAGCTTTCTTCTGCACGGTAGCAATTCTAAGAGTGTGAGAATGTCTGTGTGTGTAAACATGTACGGAATTCAGCGATTCAGAGAAAATTGGTCTGACCCCATCAATAAATACCATTCCAACCATGCCCTTATGCATGGTGCACATTGTCATTAAATAAAGTAATAGCTGTGCTTTGAACTGTCAGGTCGGGGAGAAGTTTAAACAATTGGCACTTTATAGTTCATGCAGCTACCTTGCTTTCCAGGGTGTTATTTATTTACAGCGCTACTGCAGAAATGAGAAAATAATTAATTCCATACGTTCAATCTTGCAAAGCTGATTGTAGTGATTTTGAAAGGAGTAGGCAGGGAAGGTTAGTGGGATCTGCACCGAGACTCTCTGTGTTTGTTTTTGCTGTGGGCTAGCAGACTGTAGTCACCTGCACATAATACGTCCCATTGAAAGTCCACAATCTGCAAATGACCTTCCACATTCCTTCACTCAGTCGCCTAAAAGTCCAATTTCTGTGTTTTTTTTTTGAAACGAGCTATCTAGGGGTTTCAAACCTACCCCCCTTTCCCCTGCCCAGCGAGGCCTGGTGTCAAGTTGTTCATAGCTGTGGAAATGTTTTTATTTCAAGGAATGTGGTTTTTGAATAGACATGAGTTTGAGACTGTGCCGGGGTTTCTGCTCTTCATTAAAGCTGCCTCGGACACAGCGATTCGCAGAAACAAGCTCCCTTTTGTTAATCTATCTATATTGAATTAACCCATTACAGCTTAGGCAGGAGGTATCCATTCATTTTTTGTTTCCCTTTTGCAGACGGAGTAAGGTTTAACTAACGCCCCCCCTCCCTCCACTGTTTAAACACTGATCCTCAATGAGGCACACACTCCAACCCCACTGAAATGGGTATTCTTTACCTCAGGGCCAGGCAGTGGAGCGGATAAAGAAAGGAATCTGCTTAAGACTAGCAGAGGGTTATGGAGGGATCCCAGCACCTGAACAGTTTGGCTGTAGGCACACCTTTGCTTTAGCTTATTCTCTCTTCAGCCAGAGGATGGGGAACCTGTGGAAGTCTTAGCTGCAAAAGGCCTGTGGAAGCCAAGTCATTGAGAGATAAGCAAGTTCTTGATTGTTAAGGGGATCAAAGGATACAGGGAGAAAGCAGGAGGATGGGGTTGAGAAACATATCAGCCATGATTGAATGGTGGATGGGCCGAATGGCCTAATTCTGCTCCTATATTTTATGTTCTTATTTTTTCATGAGATGTGGGTATATGCATTTATTGCCCATTCCCTAATTGGCCTTGAACTGAGTGGCTGTCAGCAGTTAGTCACGTTCCAGAAATTAGAGCCAGGAAACCTGATCCGACTCCGAGAATTCAAAACGGAGGCTCTGGTATGTTCACTTTCAATTATAACTGGGTTCTTCACTCTGGGGCTGGAGTCACATGTAGACCAAGTTAGGGAACGATGGTAGGATGCGAGTGAACCAGATGGGTTCATCCAACAGCTGCTTCCCTGTTGCCATTGCACCAGGGTTTTTAATTCCAGATTTATTCTTTGAACTGTTGATTTCATACCCAAAGTAGTTCCTTGCCTCAGTGTCTGTCAGGTATTCCAGCAGCAAACACTGTTAACCACCCCCACCTCAGCCCTTATCTCCAGAAATCTCCTGATTCAGACACCACAGAAGGCATTTCCTGGCCCCCTTTAGCCTTCCTAATTCCTGAGTTCTTTCCTGCTAACTCTGCAATCTTTGAAAGCTCTGTCTGTCTTCAGTTTCCTAAACCTTACATATGCCTCCTTTCTCATTTTGACTAAGCTGTCAATTTCTCTTGTCATCCAGCATGGCTGAATTTTGCTACCCTTAGCCTTCATTTTCACAGGAACCTGCTGGTCCTGATCTCTAATCAACTGGCCTTTAAAAGATCCCCTTCCCCATGCCAGATGAGGATTTACCCTCAAACAGCTGGCCCCAATCTACGCTCTGAAGTTCCTGCCTAATATGGAGGTAGCTAGCCTTTCCCCCAGTTTGGTACTTTCACCGGAAGGCTATTCTTATCCTTCCGTAAGTAACTCAAAATTTACAGAATTATGGTCAATGTTTCCACTGAATCATCGATCACCAGGCCGGGCTCATTCCCCAATACCAGGTCGAACATGGCTTCTTCCTTAGTTACACATTGTTTCATTAAACCATCTTGGACACACATTACAAGCTCACCTCCATCCAAACCCCTGGTAGTAAGCAAGTCCCAGTCATTATACAGGAACTTCCCTGATGGTAATCCATGAGCCAGGTGGGTTTTGCAACATTCAGAATGGTTATCATCAGACAAGCTTTTGGTTTTAGATCTTTGACTTCAAATTTCAGCATCTGCCTTGGTGGGATTTGAACCCATGTCCTCAAAATATTCAGATGAGCTTCTGCATTACTTGTCTTATGATGCTATCACTATGCCACCATTTTCCTTACATGTCACACAATTCAAGTACCCAACCAATTGCCTTCACACCCACAGCTGAGGCTTATCCCTTTGTCATGACACTCTAAATTACCTCTGGACGTAGCAAACTTTTAAGTAGAACATGTGTGTTTTTTAAAGAAATTGTGTTTGGATTACAATTAGTCCTGAGATGAAACATAGAATGCCACACCTGAAGTGTGTAAAAGGAACCTCAAACAGCAAAGCTTCGAAGGGACAGATGCCATTCAGAAAACTGCACTGTAATTGTCTGTGGCTATAAAGATAATAAGGGGTAGTTTACCCCCTTTTTAACAGGAAACTATCTCCTGTGGTTTGTGTCCCAGACTGTCAGCTGAAAGATAAGCAGTTTGGGGCAATAGATATGTTTGTGTTTTATTATTCCAAGAATGGGCACAACAAAGGAGGTTAAAAACTAACTGAAACCCCTGGTCTCTGTGAGCAGGAGTGTTGGTGTGTTAGCTTGGAGTTCAAATTCCACTGTGTTAACATGTGCTGTGAAGGGATACAACTGGGAACACCATCAGACAGCCTGCATGTGCCGATAGAACAGAAATAATATCTCATTCCAAACTTCAGAATTCCTCCACTCGCAAGTTCTTTCTATCCTGGCTGCGCGGTGGCTCAGTGGTAAGCTCTGCTGCCTCAAAACACTGGGGACTTGGGTTCGATTCCATCCACGTGTGACTGTCTACATGGAGTTTGCATGTTCTTCCCTGTGGCTGCGTGGCTTTCCTGTAGATGTTCCAGCTTCCTCCCACAGATGTGCAGGTTAGGGTGGATCAGCCATGATAAATTGCCGATAGTATCCAGGGATGTGCAGGCTAGGTGGATTAGCCATGGGAAAGGCAGGGATACAGGGGTTAGGTAGGGGACTGTGTCTGGGTAGAATGGTATTCCGCGGGCCGGTGTGGACTCGATGGGCCGAATGGCCTGCATCCACACTGTAGGAATTCTATGATCACTTTCAGACCATCCTGGAAATAAAACCCAACTCTTCCACCGTGGTTTTTGTTGCCCCTGATGGTTGTGATCCCTTTGACTCACCATCTCGATTTTTATTGACTAACGCCTCTGTTACATACCTTGGAATTTTCTGTCTCCATGTTAAGGGCACCATCTGAATGCAAGGGTTTGTTGTTGATGTCGAGCCCAGCCCAGAGGAACACAAAACAGCTACAAAAATGCTTCCCCTCATATGGCCTTTGATTGAATTGAAATGGTTCGTCAGACAACATCTGAAAGAGAGAAAAAAGAATCAACAGACCATCAAGAACGCAACGAGTGTGTGGGCTGTGATGCACACAGGATAAACTATCTCTGTACAACCAGCCACAAATAGGAGGACATTAGCAGCAAAGCCAGTTTCACAATCGTAAAACAAAATGCGGGTTAATACATGTGAAATGAGATAAAGAAATTTCACGCAAACGTGTTCAAACATTAATATCACACAGTTTATTTTCACAGCATTTGCATTCCTACAAGTAGCCCATGGAAAGGAAAGATTGATGTAACGACCTCAGGATGTCCCAGGATGCTTTACAACAATAACATGTATTTGTGTAGCAGCTCTTGGCCAACAAACATCCCAAGGTGCTTCAGAAGAAAACAAAACGGTAACAAAATTGACTACAGCTGTTGCGCAGTTTCTCACACTGCAACCCGTCCCTACCCCCTCACCTAAGGAAGGATCTATTTGCCAGAGAAAGAGTGCAGTAGAAGTTCATTAGACTGGTTCCTGGGATGGTCGGATTGTCCTATGAGGAGAGACTGAGGAGAATGGGCCTGAATTCTCTGGAGTTTACAGAAATGGCCAATGTCTTTTCCACAGGGTTGAGGAGTCCAAACTAGAGGTATAGATTTAAGGTGAGAGGTTAAAGATTTTAAAGGGACCTAAGGGACAACTTTTTCATGCAGAGGGTGGTGCGTGTATGGAATGAGCTGCCAGAGGAGGTAGAAGGGGCTGGTATGATTACAACATTTAAAAGGCATCTGGATGGGTATATGAATAAGAAGGGTTTAGAGGGATATGGGCCAAATGTTGGCAAATAGGACTTGATTAATTTGGGATATCTAGTTGGCATGGAGGAGTTGGACCAATATGTCTGTTTCTGTGCTGTGCATCTCTATGACTCTGTGAATAAGAGGTAAATTAATCAAAACTTGCAGGAATCTTCCAGGCAGAGACACAGTAGATGTAGAGAGGGAGTTTCCCCAGGTAGCAGGGGGGTGAGATACCAGGTGACACAATCTCAGAATAAAAGGCAGGCTGAAATAACTCCACAGGGATTGGCATCCCATCACTGAGTCACCCTTTATTTACACGCAGAGAGTCCTTGACACAGATCCAGCTTCCTCAGACCCAGCTCTCAGAGTGAGCAGAACCTCTGACGTTCCTGTTCTGATCTGTCAGGTGCACTTACAACACTTAAAAGATATTTGGACAGGCACATGAATAGGCAAGTGGGACTAGTTCAGGTTAGGAAACCCGGCTGACGCAAATGAGTTGGACCGAAGGGTTTGTTTCCCTGCTGCACGACTATATATGACTATGACTCTATGATCTAGAATGGTAGAACAGACTTGAGGGGCTGAATGGCCTACTCTTGCCCCGATGTTCCTAAACTATGACAGCAAGACACATCAGGAGAGGTTGGGGAAGGTGACTAAAAGCTGAAGGTCAAAGAGGTAAGTTTTATGGAGTGCCTTTGAGGAGAAAAATGAGGCACAGAGTTGTTGGTAGAAGGGGTTTGTGGGTAGTCTATGAGCTTGGGGCCTAGTGAACAAATGATGAAGACATACCAATTTGGGGATTCACAGTAGACCTGATTTAGTGCATCTCAGACATCTTAGTGAGGCTGAAGGAGATAACAGAGATAAGATTTACAAACAGGGAAGTACTTTTGAACTGTAGCCAAAGCTGGAATGTGGAAAATGCAACGACCAACACACGCACAGCCAGCTCCCACAAACAGCATTGTGATGATGTCCAGATTTTTGTATTGATGATTGAAATATAAATATTAGACACTGAGGACAACATCCCTGGGTCTGCTTTAAAATAGTCTCATGCGATCTCTTACAGCCATTGGTAGACAGGAACTTGCTCTAACATTTAATCCTAATAAGGCCACTCTAGCACTGCGACAAACAAAAACAGATATCGCTGTGGAAACTCGGCGGGTCTAGCAGCATCCTTTGACAGAGAAACAGAGTTAAATGTTTCAAGTCTGGTGACCCTTCTTCAGGTTCAGTTTTAGTTCCCAAGTAGCCACAATGGGGATTGAGCCCAGCACTTTGCTAAATCAGTGTTGAGGACTCAGCCAATTGAGCTCGGCACTGAAGCTGGGGCAAAGGAATAAAACCTGACAAACCAGCCTTAGATCCAAATATTCCTACACTGTCATTGGGCAGCTGAGGTTGAGGGTGTCTCTCTCTCTGGTTCAGACTGTGGACAATTCCTCTCCTATTGAAAGTTGTAGACAGCCATCTGGCACTTCAGAAAGAGGCTTTGAATTTTGGAGGATAAAAAGACTAACTTTGCATTTATATATCTCCTCTCTCAAACTTAGGATGTATAAAGTATCCTAACAATGAAGAGCGTATTTTTTGAAGTGTAGTCACTGTTGTCATTTTGAAAATTGAGCAGTCAATTTGAACACAAGGCCATAAGATATCGGAGCAGAATTAGGCCATTTGGTCAATTGAGCCTGCTCTGTCATTTGATCGTGGCTGATATGTTTCTCAACCCCATTTTCCTGCCTTCTTCCTGTAACCATTGATCCCCTCACCTTCAAGAACTAATCTATTTTTGTCTGTGACCAATGACTTGGTCTCCACAGCCCTCTGCAGCAATGTGTTCCACAGGATCACTACCCTCTGAGAAAAGAAATTACTCCTCATCTCTGCCTTGAATCCTTTAATCTTTACTCCAGAGGTCTGTTGAAGGCGTGCCATCGAGGGGGCTGAGACAGATGGATTTTTAATGAGTCAGGGAATCAGGTGTTGTGGGGAAAAGGCAGGAGAGTGGAGTCGAAGATTATCAGATCAGCCATGATCTCAGTAAATTGTGGAGCAGACCCGATGGGCTGAATGGCCTACTTTTGCTTTTGCATCGTGTGGTCTTAAAATTTTTCGCAATTTGTTGGTTGTTTGCTGAAATCTTCGCGCATATTGGAGCTGTTACTTCCAAGCTGTGTAAGACAGTGTGGAACAGAAACGACATTGGCCAGCACACTGTGTATAACTGCTTTTCACATCATGGCAGTGGGATCAGTTACAGATACCTGAATAGAATAGAATATCCTTTACTGTCACTTGTACTCCAGTACAGAAGTACAGGAGTAGTCAAAAGTTTTTTTACAACGGTTGCCTTTTCAGCCTAGAAACACATTTGATTGACTGAGTTCCTTGCGAGGTGTCTTTGTCTGAGTTAGGCATGCCTGTAAGCTGTCACATCGGTTGACCCTTGACCCTTAAACTGTCCCCTGGAATGGCCTGGCGAGCCACATCGTCCCGCTAAACAGTGACTGAACAGTATCTGAACCTGATAGGCTGCGGCAATTCAAGATGGCAGCCTTACCACCAGCTTGCCAAAGGGACAATTAGAGATGGGCAACAGATGTTGGTTGAGTCAATGATGCTCGCTTTCCATGAAAGAATTACAAAAAAAAAGCATTGATTACAACCAGCTCGTTGTGATCATGGAGACTTCTGGTGGGATGTTAATCCCAGCCCAGCCAGATTCCTCTGGGGCATGAGAAACAATAAAAGTACACCTTCACCTCTCTCATCTACTCTCAATTCAGTTCAAGTTTAGAACACATATGAATCCTCATGGGGACATCTATATCAACGTGTATAAATCCTGTTGCAGGGCGGAGCAAGACCACTCAAGCGCCAGAGCAACAAAGAAAATTGGCAACCAAAATTAACAAATTGGATACGAGTCATTGAAGCCTTGCTCATTCTAAAGGAGAGCGTGGTCTAGGCAGAGATTATTCCAGTGTTCAACGTCCTCAAGAGAACAGAATATATCAGAGTTGGCAAAAAGATGTCACCAGAGGTCATGGGCCTGCGATTAGAAGAGCAACACAAGGAGACAGATTAGATTGTAACTACCAAACACTGAGTGTGATAAACACAAGGAACAGATTATTCAGAGAGGCAGAGAGTCGGGGACTTTTACAAGCAAACAGGAGATAATTTTGAGGCTGAGTTGTTTGTAAACTGGTGACCTTTTTGGACAAAGAACCAAAGAACTGAGGATGTTGGAAATTGGAAACAAAATCAGAAATTGCTGACGAAATTCAATAAGTCTAGCAGCAAAGAAAACAGCGTTAACATTTCGGGTCCAGAACTTTTCGGTCCTGCATTTTCTGATGTTCCTCAGAGAGGTATTCCTTCAGAACTACTAGATATGAGGCAATCAGGCAATTTTCCAATCTCCTACCCCTTTAACCAACAGCTTAATGCAAGTGTCAGCAGTGATTGGGAGGCATCACCATTAGCCTTTATGATGTCCTTGTCTGACAGTCTGACATGCATGCTCTCCATCAGGTGTGGAGTGGGACACAGCAGAGGGCCTGGGTACCAATGGGAACAAGACCCCTGACAGAATTTCCCCAGTCAACCCTGGAAACTGAGACCGATTGTAATAAGCCTGATTAATGTGGCTCAGAGGTTAACATTCTAACTTCTGAGATTGCAGGTTTAGGAAGGGCAGCATTGAGTACGCAGCCCTGTGTTGGCAGTACAGTTTTGATGCAGCACTCTGAGAGATCAAAGTCAGAAGTTATATGACACCACATTATAGCCCAACAGATTCATTTAAAATCACAAGTTTTCGGAGCAGTGCCCCAAAAGCTTGTGATTTTAAATAAACCTGTTGGACTATAAACTAGAGATAGTAGGAACTGCAGATGCTGGAGAATCCAAGACAACAAGGTGCAGGGCTGGATGAACACAGCAGGCCAAGCAGCATCATAGGAGCAGAGAGGCTGACGTTTCAGGCCTAGACCCTTCATGTGGCTTCTGACTTTGTCCACCCCAGTCTAACACCACATCATGGTCAGATCAATGTAAAGGTGGTCTGCAATGGGCTAGTATTGTAATCATTGCACTTAGAGGGCTTAAATTGACTCAACATGGGCTGAAAACCCAACCTGATCTGCAACCTGTTGGCCTCCTATTGAAAGAGTTGACTACCATTGAGTAGCACATTGTCTCATTCCAACATTCAGGACTTTGTCCTGGAGAGCGCACTAGTGATCGGGGATGGTCGCCTCAATGGGGGAAGGCCACTGTCTAAGGTCCACCAGTCATTGTATGTCAAAGGGATAGGGTTCGGTGAAAAACCTGTAAGGTTCCACATAGGAAACATTGTAAATATTGACTACAATTTTTAATGTGGTAATTTACATACAGCTACAGGAAACTAAGCTTTGAATTTTGGAACGGAAACAAATTTGCTGGAAAACCTCAGCAGGTCTGGCAGCATCT